ACTGGGGCCCAGTGGGCAGCCACAGGCCACATCCATGGCCCAGCCTGGGGGACCAGAGACCTGCTCTGCTTTGTGGCTAAGGTACGAGCTAGTCCGAAGGCCCTGGGCGAGGCGCCGAGTACCACAAGGAAGGGAAATCAGCTCTGGCATCTCCCCCGGTCCAGCCCAGCCCAGCCTCGCCCCTCCACCTCCAAAGGAGGGGAACTCGGGATGAAGCTGGGCCCCTCGTGAGACAGAGGCGGGGCGGCCTGGACCCTGGAGAGGTGACCCGGACTCGGTGGTCATGAATACACCAGTCCCTTCCTGTGACTAGCAGGGGATAGGCTAATGAGTCACGTGGAGAGGAGGTCTGCTGTCAGAGCCGGTTTGCTCAGGGCAGGCTTCCTGCCACCCCACGTCCCGTGCTGCCTCGGGACTGAGTGAGAAGAGTCGCTGTCACTACGCGCAGCCCCTTGACCTTGGACCACCACTGTGAGCCACGGTAAACCTCTTCCTTTTCTTTAGAGTTGAACCAGGCTGATATGATGCTATCAGCAAGAGCAAGCCAGGGCAGTAACAGCTAACCTTATCCTGCCCCGGAAGGGCTCCGGGGGAAAACAGGAAGAAATGGCAGTCACTCGACGGCAGGTTAAGCCAAGCCATCTACAGCGCAGGAACCGGGGTGGGGACAGCAGGTCCCCGAGTCCAGACATGGACAGGGACAGCAGGAAGAAGTCCAGGAGGGAAAGCATCTGTCTAGTTCATATCAGACGTGGACAGATTCAAAAAGGTGGCAGACTCCTTATAAAGTCCTTAGAACACCAGACGCATGAGCTTCTATACCGCATTGCTCCCGGCTCTGATAAAGTACCAGGCATCTCAATGTCCTAACCTGCACCTGAACTTGTTGATGGGATTCCCCCACTCCACACAATTCCAGCCCCCCTGGAACAAGTGCAACATGACAAGTGACCTGTTAAAATTTTAAGCAATTACTCTAATGAGGAAGCCAATACAGAAAAGTAGCAGAAACACTCCCTCCTCCGCCTCTCCCCTCTCGGGAGGGAATTGTGCCAGATTCCACATTCACACACCAAAACCACCACTCGCTCACTCCCGCTCATGAACGTTACACTTGAGCTCCAAACTGAAATCACTGGCAATTTAAAAGTGGAATAGAATAAAAGAAAAACAACTCCATAGAACAAGAACGTTACAACAAACTTATGGATCACACTGTATTCCTCCAGGTGTGTGTATCTTTTTATGCTGGGGCTATATTCAAAGACAGACTGTGCAAATCTCAGAGTTGCTTAAACTAAGCCAGCCACAGCATCACCAGACAGCATAGCTTCCCGGGGCTGCTGGTACGTGCAGTCCGTGCTGGAACAGCACATTCGTACACGGTGTTAGGGCTGCACGCTGAGACCAAACCCAGTACCTGCTGAGGAAAGTGGTCTCTGCAGGCATAAGCAAGTTATGACGAGGCCAGGTAATCCATGATGGGTGTCCTCATAAAAAGGGGAACATGGTCCCTGAGAGACGCAGGAGGAAATGTCCTGTGAGGATGGGGGACGGGATGACCCTGGGACGCTGCTGGCCTTCGGACCTTGGGAACAGGGAAGGGAGGCTCTTCTGGAGTCTTCCGGGAGAGGATGTTCCTGCTGACCCACTGATTTGGACTTGGGGCCTCCAGAACCACAAGTAAACACATTGTTTGGAGCCCCAGTTTGTGGTGATTGTTATAAGCAGCCCAAGGAAACGAACACAGAGCTTAAAAGGTCAGGCTTCGAAGCATGAAGCGAACTGCGCCTGAGGGGCGGGGGCTGGGTGCAGCTCAGTCGCGGAGCAGATGCCCACATGCACGAGGCCCTGCCGGGGGCTCCACTCTAAAAATGCTCAGCACAGTGCCTGTCGCCCGACACCAGGCCACAAAGGGAGCTATGCCACTGTGGCCCGCTGCTTCTCCAGCTCTGTCCTTCCACGTTGCGTGGAGCTCGGAGCTTGGCTTGCTTTCATGTCCTCTGTCATCAAGCCTTCCATAGCTTTCAGCTTCTTTGGCTTTTGCTAAAGCTCAGGAGCTGCCACTTTTCACCTGAAGGAGCTGGTGGCAGAGTAGTTACGACTTTCTTGCTGTTTGAACCCAGTCACCTTCTCTTTCTCCACCATCCTGAAGAGTATCGTCTCAATGTGTTCCTTCAAACTTTCCCTGCTGCTGCTGTGTCCTTTCTCCAGCTACCTTAGGTCAGCTCTTTGTGACGTGGGGACCCTGGCTGGCTTATTCTGAAAAACACCACCTCTTAAGCTGTATAACCTCAGCACATGCTGTCAACCCAAAGTCTCCCAGGTAAATATGGAGCAAGAGGCCAATAAACAAGCACCTGAACCAGAATAATCTCTTAGCTGTTTGAAACTTAACCTTAGATACGAAAACAGGGTGGCCGTCTGGTTCATCCATACAGTGGAGATGACAGTTTTCCAACAGAAACCCAAAAACCTTTTTTTTCTTGAAGCCGGTATAGACAGCTGCAGACCTTTCCTATCTTCAGTTGGGTTTATTGTGTTAGCCATGAAAGTATTTTTTGATACAATGGAAATTGCTATAATTATAATCACCTGAGGACACCATTATTATTATTACTAGGACCAAACTGCACGGTTCCAGCAGAGGCTGCTCCTCCTGTTGGAAAGAAGTCACTAATGGCATCCATGTGCACCCTGGGCTGCCATCTCCATGCCAACGTGGACCTGCCTGCTGGCGCATGGCTTTCACTTGGGCTTCTGGGCAGATGCCTGTGACTCCGCACAGAGCCTGTGGGCAGAACAATGGACCCCCAGTTCTTGATGAAAGCACCCGGGGACAAGTACACTGCCAAAGCCTGGCTCTCTCACAGCAGACGAAGGACCTGCAGTGCTCCAGCGTCTGTGGAACACCCTATTTCCCTAGCGTCCTACCTGGATCCAGCTGTTCCTGTGCTGCTCCTTAGGCACTTCCCTAAGGGACGGAGGAGACGGAGCAGCAGCCCTGTGTGTAAGGCTTGGGGTGTCTGGCTGCAATGGGTAGTTCGAGGCCAAAACCATGGAAAAGTCAGGCGGGAAGGGGGGAAGGAGGCAGGGCCCTGCCTGGGCCTCAAAACTCGGGTTTTGGAGTCCAACTCCCTGAGATCCATTTCCAGCACTCCCTCCTTCTTGCCCTGTTGCCCTGGCAAGTCAGTCAACTTCCCCAACCCTCAGCACCAGAAGCACAGGAGAAGCCCAGGGGAGGCGGGGTGGGGACTGCCTGGAGCCGCAAGACACCCACTTGCTCTAGGAGCTCCTGAACAAGTCCTGGGTGTTTACTGCTGGAATCTACAATCTTCATTTTCTCTCCACCTAAGCAATTTTTATTTTAGGCTTGGAGAATCAGCAGAGAATAAATGCATGACTCCTGGCCAGGAACAGCGCAGGGAAAGTCACAGGAAGTCACCTCCTGCTCCCCTCTCAAGCCAGCTACAAACGCCCTGCTGCTGGCCCGGGCTTTGGGGGTGCAGTGCAGCACAGTGAGCAGTGAACCTCATGCTCTGTCACAGGGCACCAGCACCTGAGGGCTTACAGTAGGCACCTAGGAAGATCATGGGCACGGACTTCGCTACAAAGCATGGAATGAGGCCAGGATGGGTGAGGCACATTCATTTCCCTCACACATAGACGTGAACCGGCTTGCGAAAAAGCAACCTTCCCTGGAAACACAGCACTGTTTAACTGAGGAAGATAACCTCGAACTACTTCCACGGCTATGGTAAAGATAAAAGCACAGGCACTCAATACATTCCTGCTAATTAAATTAATTAAACTTCATCAATTTAAAGTAAAGGTCACTGAATTAACTAGCAAAGGCAAACTACTACGTATGAATGCTTTTCTGTAGCCTTCTTGAGTTTTTCTCCTCCTCCTCCGAGGGCGGGCTCAGCCCGGGGCCCAGTCAAGCCCTCTTGAGCAGGGAGAATTCCCTTCCACTTGAGAAAACCAGTGGAAACTTTTCTTCATGAAAGCACAAATTCCCCAAGTTGGACCTGTTCCCGAGGGCTTCACAGGACACAGGAGAGTCCCCTGGTCTTGGGGGGCAGGTGGCAGTGGCTCACGCTGGGGCAGCTGGGGTGCAGTCAGGTTTCTCAGCGCAACCAGAATCAAACTTTGGTGCAGAGTAACACACTTTGGAAGGTAAAAAAAAAAAAGAAAGCCAACCAATTAAGCAACTACAGAAGTTCTTCAGCAGTTTCCTTTTTTAAAAAAAGAATTAACATGGCATATCTTTCCTCTTAAAGCCTTGAATAATTTAATTAGAATTACAGAGAAGTCATGAGTATGTTCTATTTATGGGGAATCACCGCAGAATTAAAACCTGAATGACAACGTTAAAAATAAAAACAAAGGCTCCTCACACGGTGTGCAATCGATGAGCTAATCTGACCTCAAATCGCATGTGGATTAGGAAGTCTGCAGGGGGAGAGGGCTAAGCAACCCTGGAAATTTCTTTTTTAAATGACTGTACCGAGGGTAAGAATTTCTTGATACCACAAGTGCTAGCAAGTGAACACCGGAGTAAAGGTGACCGAGGTGTCGTTCTGTCATAGCCTGGCTGGCCCGGATTTTCCCCAGCTGCTCGAGCGCGCTCGGACTTCCCGACCCGCGGGTGGACGCGGCTTCGGAACCGGCCGCTTTGGCCCATCTCAGGCGTAATCCCTGCGCGGGGTGCGGGCCTCCGCCTCTTTAGCCACGAGATAGCACGGGGGAGGCGAACCCCAGGCGCTTCCCCGTCAATACCCAGCTTCTCACCCAGGCCCGGTACCTCGCCGGAGCCCGGCGCGCTCGCCAGAGCGGCTCCGGGTCTACACTCTCGCCTCCAAGTTCCGAGCCCGGCGCGCGCGGACCAGCCGCGCCCAGCAACCCAGGCTCCGCTCCTCCGGGGACGCAGCCGCGCGGGAGCCCTCCGGGGACCCTGGGGCCGCCCCGAGTTCCCCGCGGAGTGCCCACCCACCTACCTGCTGCGGCGGGGTCCCGATCAGCATCTCCAGGTAGTAGCCGCGCCCCGAGTCCCCCTGCAGATTGTCCACCATGGCTAGGAAGTTGGCGGCGGCCCCGGCGGGCTCCAGGGCGAGCGCCAGGCCATCGGCGCGGGGCAACACGGGGGTCCGGGGCGCGGGGGCCGGCGAGCCCGGGGGAGCCGCGGCCACGGCCACTCGGAGGGGCAGCGCGAAGGGCGCAGGGGCCGCGGCCGCGCGCAGCAGCAGCCACTGGGCCAGTAGCAGCAGCAGCAGCAGGAGCGCCCAGGCCAGCGCGCCCATCCCCGCGGCGGGGTCCGGACGGGGCGCGGGCTGCGGGGCGCGCACCGGCCGGCGGCGGAGGTGGGCGGGTCCGGGGAGGAGTCAGCGAGCTGCGCGCAGCGCGCCGCCAACTTCAGCAAGTTGGCGCCGCGGCCCCGCCCCGCGGCCGAGGAGGGGCCTGGGGCGCGGGGCTCCCCGGGCCGCGCCCTGCCTACCCGGGCAACTCGGGGCCTGACTTCGCTCGGAACGCGGCCTGGGAGGCCACGGCCAACGGATGTGACGAGGCTGATCCGATATCGGAGCGAAAGTTTCGGGAACCCTTAAAGGGGCAGCGAGGGCCCGGCGAGCCTCTTGCCCGGCGGGTGCCCTCCGCTCCGCGCGCTGGTCCGGGTCGAGGACGCAGCCCGGCGCCGTCAGAACCGAGCGGGAGCCCGCGCCGCCCCTCCCGAGCGCAGTCCACCCGCGCCTCCCCCAGCCCACGCGGGGCGGCGCAGGAACCGGGGCCGAGCCGGGGCCGGGTGCGGGGGGGCGGCCAGCCGGGGGCTTCGCCCCCCGGGGGGGGGGAGGCTGGGTGCAGCCTGCGGGGCCCGGCTTCTCCCCGGGGAGGTGGCGCCTCAAGGTCGACCTCTGCTGTGATGCAGACAGGATCCTGCTGCAGTCCCCTCAGTCCACTTAGTAAATTGCTGTGTGGGCCAAGATGTGGACTCCGCCGGCCCCGACCCTCCGCTGTTCCCGGTCCCGGATTAGCTAATGAATACCCGCGTAGCCACAGACCCCGAGCCCGCAGACTGCGCTCAGATGCCAGCACTGAGGGTTATTTTATTTTAGGTACCGCGGGCTGTGTGTGGCAGGGACAATTACACAAGCTAAAGTCATCGATTTCCACTGAAAATCCTGCTGTCTCCTCCAGCTGAATTATGGTGGCAGCTTTTTTTTTTTTTTTTTTAAACAGCCCATCTTCAAACAGTGAGGAGGTGGAAGCTGAGGTTCCTTTCTCCACGCACCTTCCAGCGACTTCTGCTCAAGAACTGACCTCTATGTCTGCCTCCCAACGCTGGCATCGCACCTTGCTCTGCGAGAGACCCTTGTGTCAGCGCTCTTGAGCTGTATTGATTTTCAGAAGACTTTTAAGTATAAATCACATTTTCCCCAAACTGAATCACAACTCTAACAAATCCCAGCTACGCAGAAAAGCCTAGTTGGGTCCTGTGGTATAACCTAAATTGATATTCTCCATAAATCCACAGCTATTGCATTCATATATTCACATTTCCTATTCAAGGTGGTAAAGGAAGTGCAATTTTAAAGAAATGATTATTTATACTCCCTGGTGTTCAGGCTTGAGGGGTTCAAGAGACATTCAGACAGCTCTCAGAAGAACATAAACCTTGCAAAAGTACATGGAATTTATCAACGACATTGACATAGGGCCCACGTGACGTATATGTTCAATATTAAAGACGTTTGCTCTCTCTAATAGTTAAAAGCCACGAGGGAAATTTGTAAAAACTCCAGTCTAATTAAAGTTTGTACTTGAAATTCCAGATTCCATGTGGCGTGAACATTTCTGAGCTTTTCATCAGAAGAGGAAGGGTCGGGTTTTCAAGTAGACGCGTGTAAAGACTTCGGGACAGAGGCACCTGCGGCTTGAACGAGTGGCCCCGTTAGCTCCTGGGGAAACAATGTGAGCTGAAGTGATTGCGTTGGGTGACTCCCTTCTTGACCTTACAAAGGGTCTTAGAGTCCTTGATCTCTCCTCGGACCGTGATGCTGGCTTTGGGAATCAATGGTTTCCGCAGGCAGGTGTTTGAATTGAAATGTTTGGCAGGGCTCTCGCGGGGTGCCATTGGTTTTACTTTTTTCGGACTTGAAGCACTTCCCCGAGGAAGAGGCCCCCCCTTCCGTAGTACAAAGGAATAGGACCAGGGAGAGGGAGGTGCACCCCTCATGCTCTTCCTA